CAGGTCTGGGCCCGTGGAGAAAGCAACAAAAGGCACCTGCAAAAGTCCAACTAAAAGCCTGAGAAGAACAACTCCAGGTTGGGAAAGCGATTTCTTGAGACACTATTTGGAGTTTTATTGGCAACAAGGCTCTGCCTTTCACATGCTCAGCCCCGGCCTTGCGGCTCCGCTGCCTCTTCCCACTGGGAACAGCAATGGAATGCAGAGGGACTGGGAAGCTCCATGCCCTGGTGACAGCCCACATGGCCTGGATCCATCCCCAGCCCTTGTCAGGATGCGGCCAGCAGGAAGAACACAGCTCCTTAAAACATCCACAACTGGTTTAAGAGCAGGTGGTGGTGAGGGCAGCCTGGGCCTTGCTGGGAGAAGCCCTGGAGGACGCATCCATAGGGCCAGGGAACACTGGGGCAGCCAGTGCTGGATCCAGGATTGTTCCTCCCCCGAGAGTCCCACTGGCCTCGGAGCCAGCAGCAGACAAGCCGGGATACCCTGTTTCCTGGATATGGCTCTACCCTGCTTCCCATGTCCTTTAAACACCCAAATCCTCTTTGGAGGGAAGCCTTGAGATCCATGTTTCCATCGCAGCTCTTCCCAGCAGGTCCAACACTGCAAACACACCCTGTGGGAGAAATACCTGCGGGTGCAAAAAGCAACCCCCCCATGTCTGGAGTGGTCCAAAGCCCTGCGATGCTGTAACCAGACACCCTTCCCAGGCATGGAGAGGATGGGGAGAACAAGGAGTGCACGTTATAAATATAAAATCATGATCTGCTACAAACGTAAGACGTATATTGTACATCTTCAACCCATATACACAAGAACACGATATACACAGAACGCCTCAGAGGAGCAGGGACTTTGCAAAGGGGGAGTGGGAGATGCTGCTCCCCTTCCAGCCCCCTGCGCCTCCCCCATGCCAGAGGGGGGTGTACCGACAGCGCATCAGTCACCAGAAGTCCTGTGAAGCTGACACGCATCATTGGAAGTGATGGAGTGATGGTTCCCCTGCCCCGAGCCATGTTCACCCCACTGCCCAGGGGGAGAGGGAGGTGAAGAGGGTGAGGAGGACACAGAGCAGGCGCGAGGGGTTCTCTTGTGAACTCAGAAAGTGCTTGGGGTGTCCGGACCCTCGGAGCGAAGCCAGGCCCTGAGAGAAGCCTCTTGCCCTGCTGCTCTCAGGGGAAGGATTTTCCAGCCAGGCAGGTCTCTGATAAGGCATTTTTCATCTGGGAGCTGGAGCGACCAGTGGCAGAAGAGAGAAGGGAGCAGATATGGCAGCGCACGTGGTGACGGGTTAACACGAGGCAGCAAAGCCAAAGTGGTCCCAGCCAAGGGTAAACAGGTGGAGAGGACAGGAGGGCTTTGTCCTCGGCTCAGTTTCTCTGTCAAGCTGCCCCCAACGTCCCTTCCCAGCCCTTTCAAGCCTCTCTCCCTGGCTCGGTGTGGAATACTGACGGTCACTGGAGTGGCACATCCAGGCGCATGGAGTGGCAGACAGGCACACGTTGAGAGTTAAGACGAGTCCATGTGAGCTTTGTACAGCGAGGAGCAGCTCCCGGCTGGAGTGTCCGAGGAGGTGGGATGACAGAAATGCCACAGTGATCAGATCGGGCCAGGACAAGGGCTGCACATGGGGGAGAGGAGGGAGCCCAGTCCCGGCACCTATCGGCGGTAATGATTGGGGGCATCTGCAAACATGTACTTGAGTCTGTAGGCTTCAGCGAGCAGGAGTCCAATCTCTTCGTTACCCCAGTGTATCGTGGGCAGGTTTTGTAACAACATCAGAAGGCCCTGAAAGAGGGGAAGGTGCTTAGTTTTGGGAGGTTGAAGGCAGAGTACAGATCCAGAGCAGGCTCAGGGCAGCAGTACTCAATAACTTGCTCACAGACAGCATTAAGATATGTTTGTGTCTAGATCCTAATCCGTGAAACACCTCAGATGCCAAAACCTCTTGAGATAAAGGATGCTTCCACAGCTGGACACCAGAAGGCAAACATAAAGGGACTTACCATGATCAGAGCTGATTTTGCTGTCTGAACTCTCCAACAGCTCTGTTCTGCCCTGAGCCCTGAGGCTCAGTAGTTACTGTCTCGGCAAGGATCCCGAGACAGAATGATCTTGGAGCCAGCTCTGAGATGATGGTTGACTGCATCCACCTTCGTCTCCCAACCAGAGCAATTCCCTCCCCTAACCACCAGGGAAATACCCCCAGCCCCAAGGTCTTACTTGGAAGTCTTCCTCATCTAGGATCTCCTTTCGCCACTTGATCAAGAAGGCAGCGCAGACGTACAGGTGGAAATGTGAGAATCCTTCTGGCTCTGACTGTGGACAGCAAAGCTCGGTGTCATGACTTCCCTGGACACATGTGTCCTGCAGGGCCACCTATCACCCAACTGGCTATCAATGTCCTGGGGCCACACTGCTTTGCTTCCTTCATCATGCCCCTCTACTCTGCTCTCATGAGACCCCACTTGCAGCACTGGGTGCAGTTCTGGTGTCCCCAAGAGAAGAAGGACACGGAGCTGTTGGAGCAAGTCCAGAGGAGGCCATGAGGATGATCAGAGGCTGGAGCAGCTCCCGTATGGAGACAGGCTGAGAACATTGGGGCTGTTCAGCCTGGAGAAGAGAAGCTGCGTGAAGACCTCAGAGCAGCTTCCAGTGTCTGAAGGGGGCTACAAGGATGTTGGAGAGAGACCTTCATCAGGGACTGGAGTGATAGGACAAGGGGTGATGGGTTCGAACTGAAACAGGGGAAGTTCAGGTTAGAGATAAGGAAGAAGTTCTTCCCTGTGAGGGTGGTGAGGCGCTGGCACAGGGTGCCCAGAGAAGTGGTGAATGTTCCATCCCTGGCAGTGTTCAAGGCCAGGTTGGACAGAGCCTTGGGCGACATGGTCTAAAGTGAGGCATCCCTGCCCGCTGCCGGGGGTTGGAACTGGATGATCTTAAGGTCCTTTCCAACCCAAACTATCCTATGATTCTATGATCTCTTCAGTTACCAGAAGACTTCCATCCCACCGTGCACAGGGAATCGGCCCCAGAGTGACCAGCCAAGCAGGGAAGGCAGCAGGAGCCTGTGTACCTGGTAGGTGTCCCAGAGGCGGATGGTGCAGCGAAGAGGCAGCTCCCTCATCAGCAGATTGTTCATCCAGCGAAAGGCAAACTGCAGGTATTCAACCTCGTACTTCCTAAAGTGATTATGTACCTGCTCTGAAACAGCACATTTCACTTACACACCTGGGGACCACGGCACTGCCCCCAACACACTGGCTTCAGGCTGAGACCTTGTTCTCCAAAACACCTGCACTCCTCACCCTGGGCAGCAAAACCCTGTCCCAGGAGGTTCCTGGCTGACCCTACCCTGCTCTGCTTCTATACCTGTTGTAGGCAAGTCTATCCCTGCCTTGAGGGTGCTACTTGCAAAGGAGGCCCCCCCACTGTTGTGACAACCTGCTCAGATCCCCTTGTCACCTACCATCGATCCGGCTCACCAGCTCCTCCAGGGCTTTGACTTTCTTCTGGATCCCTGGCTGTGCAAAGGTGTAGTTATCCTGTGGGGAGAGGCAGCAGCTCTAACAACAGCTAGAAGTGATAGAAACCACATCCCCAGCTCCACAGGGAGCCAAAAGCACCATGAGCCAAGGAGACACAACTCCTGAGCACCAGGATCATCTGCCTGCTGTGAATCCCTAGTCAGGACAGTGCTGTTTGGAGAGGCAGAGGATTTTACCCACAGACTTAGCTTAGTGAAATTGCAAAATCTCCCTAATTCTGGGACATGCAGAGCACTCACCCTATTGAAGGGAGAGACCCCCCCAGGACCCCAGGCTCACCTGAATCCCATCCAGCAGCTTGCTCATGCACCAGAAGCTGTCAGCTTCAATGCTCCGTAATACATCCTGCGACAGGTTCGTCACATCAAAGTTCTCCACATCCTCCTCTGCAGAACAGAGAGGGAAGAGCATCAGGAGGGTGGGGACACCAGGCAGCTCACAGGACACACTGAGAGGCTTTATGAAGCCAAGGGCAAGCAATGAGGCTCCCTGCCTGGCCCAGAGCACAGCACCCGTGCACTGACCTATTTCTCCAACCCAAGTGAAGGGCTGAAGGACCCCAAAAGACTCAGTGGCCACGATGCAAACCCCAGGGTGCTGTGGGAGGGATCCCACACTGCTACTGCTGTCATTGTCCCTCTGGGCAGAGCCTGTGCATGGACAAAGCTGCATATGGGACCCCTCTACCCAGACTATATCCCACCTCAGGTGATGGCAGGTCTCTGCCAGCACCACAGGGAGAACTGGGAGAGGTGAATCTCCCACTGCAGCCAGAAACCAGGGAGGGAAACACTGCCCATGACCTGGGGCAGCTCAGTTTCCACATCCAGATTCATCAGCGCCATCCCAGGACTGAAGCACAACAGCGTTACCCAAAAAGTGGCTGCCAAAGCCTCAGAACCCTCTATAGGAGAGCAGGACTCTGAGGCACAGTTGCAAGGACCCAAAAGCAGCCAAACATCTTCCTAGAGAGCAAAAAGGCTCCGACTTAAATCCAGCTTGGAGCCTGACAGTGGGGACACCAGCAGAGAGGCTGCTCAGCTTCACAGAGCTTCTCCTCCTCAAACCCAGCTGATGGGAGAGATCCAGCAAGCTGCAGCCCCATGCACAGAAGAACTTTGCTGCAGGGGAAGCAGAGATTTATGCAAGCTTGTTTTCCAAAGCCAGTGAACTGGGGGTCAGAAAGCACAAGGGTTAGTGGCAGTTTTGTCCCCAAAGGGTACTCACAGAGTGCAAAAGGCTGCCCCTGCTTTTAAATGGGCTTATGAACCTGCAAGAAGGGCAAGGGAGAGATCAGAAACCTCAAGGGTAGGATGGTGCTGATGCTGAGTTTGGAGCAGGTATCACCTGCTCCAGGCCAAGCTCACCTAAACCTGGGGCTGTAGAAGGCAGTGGAAACACAGGGAGGAGGCTCAGGAGACACAGGTCCTGGTTTGGCAGACATAGCAGCTCCCTTCCCCTTCCTCCTCAGGAGAGCACTTGTCACAGAGCTAGATCAGACCAACAGATGCCAGGGCTAAACCGGCCCATTTCCAAACCCAGAGGTTCACAAATCCTAACAAGTGTCTTTGATCTTCCTTGGAAAAGAGCAAGAGAGGGAGAGGACAGGGCTTGGGGCTACAGCCAGGCCACGCTCTTGCCTTAGGGCAGTGATGTGAAAACTCACACTAACAGATCCTGCCCACAGGAGGATGGGAAGAACAGAGCCAGCGACTCCAGCACTGCTCCTTCTCTGGGACAGGACTTGGCCCCAGGGCAAAATGCCACCAGGAGCTTTAGGGACTAGCGAGGGCTTAACTCTGCATTAATCTGGCAATCTTGAACTGCAGAAAGAGCAGCAAAGCTCTTCTACAGCTGCAGGTCATGGTCCAAAGCTATCACTCTTCTACTAGCTTCTCTGCAGGGACTCACAAATATTCCAGGCAATGAGAAAGACAGGCAAAAATCCTTCCCTAGACAGCTTCCCTCACACAGGAGGGAGGATGGACAGGCAAAGGAAGGGGACAGGGCCACATGCTAGTAGCCAGGACTGGTCAGGGGGGCAACCTCAGCCATGCAGGATGAGCTCCATGCAGCTCTAGGCATGAGGACCATGACGGAGAAGGAGATGTGGTGACCTGTCCAGGTGAGGGGGAACACCTTGCTGCTTGCACCAGGATGGGGACAGGAGCAGCAACTCTGCCAGCACCCTGCTGTCAAAGCAAAACAGGGAGAGGAGGTGCCCAGCATGAGCCAACACACACTGCAAGAAGGCCTCTGGAGCATGTGGTCCAACACAAACATTTGCTCAGTGGCATCATTCAAGAAGCCCTCTGGAAAGGAGGGAGCTGCTCAACAGGGCTCTGGCAGGGCCTGAAAGGGAGCCAGTGGCACAGTGACACTGCTGGCAGTGTCCCAGGGTGCCTAAGGGCAGCTGGAGAAAGCACAGTTCCTGTGAACGACATTTCACCAGGACTCAGGGTGGACACAGGAGAAAGGACATCACAATCCCACTTGAGCCCCTGCTCCAAATGCCAGGCAGGGAATAGCTTGGAGCAGATGAGGGGTACCAGGGCTCAGTGCCTGCTTGCCCCCAGGGAGCTTTACTGACTCCCCATGCTCACTGCAGGACTAGGCACATGGGGAACAGTTAAACCCAGTCTCGGCTCACAGCCCTGTATAGTAATGGGCATGTCTGCACCATGTGCAGTGAGGGACAGATCCAGGGCAAACCTGGAGTTGAGAACAAGACTGATGTTACAGCCTGAGCTAGTAAGTTGTGAGTAGTAACACCCAGGTACGAGGCTTCCCTTCCCCCAGGTTCCACTTATGCTTCTGTTTACAGGGAGGCAGAGTCTTAGTCTAACCACAATCAGGATTTAGTCACAAAGCCAGTCAGGAGCGAGCCAGATCAATCCTTTCCATGGCACTACCCCTTCCACAGGCTTGGTGAAATGTCAAACAGGTCCCAAAGCTGAAACAATCCCTTACACAAGGCCCTGGATCAGCGATGGAAGTGGCGTCATACACTGAGATGGGGAGAGAGCACTGGGAGAGGGCACAGAGCCAGCACTGGCACTACCTGGGGCTGCTGAACTAGTTTCTGAGCTCAGTCACTGCCATTTGAAAGGCAAACACAAGCCCTGATTGCTGGCAGTGACTCTGAGGGGCTGTGGGACCCCAGCTGGGAGCAGTTTTAGCAGGACTGAGGGCTCAGCATCCCTGTGCTTGCTGGACTCTCTCTGATACCTGGAAAAAGGGGCATATGGCTTCCTCTGGCAGGGTGTCAGCCCTGTCCCAGTTCCTTGGATGCCAGCCCGCCTCTCTCCATCCTCACTGCTCAGGCTCTGACTCCCCAGCAGCACCACTGCACCCATCCCATCCAGAGGGCAGCAACAGCAGGCTCAGCTGCTCCTGCAGCCTCAACACCTCCCTCAAGCTCTTCCTCATGGCAGCACAAGTAGAAGCCATCAATCACCAGGAGGAGGAATCACTCCACCTCTGGATCTGTTGGTGGCAGGGGCCCAAAGCAACCATACTTGCTGCCAAGTAGCCATGTTGGTGCAGGAGGCAGGTAGAGCATCACAGGAGGTGAGCCATGCTGGGAGAAAGGTTAAAACACAGCAGTTAAATCTATCCCATCTGCCAGCTCTCAGGTGTCTGCCCAGCACCTAAAGAAGCAGGAGTTTTGCATCTAGACTGGGCACAAGTAAAGGAAAAGCAACTGGTCCCAACTGGCACTAGAAAAAGGGGCAGAAGAGTTCAGACATGGGGAGTGGAAGCTCAGGAAGAGCTGCTCCTCCCTGCTTCAGCCTAGTTGATGCTGGTTGAAGGGGCACACACACTGGTTTCAAGGCATTGCTCAGAACGGACAGCAATACTAACAGGTTAACCTTTGGTTAAGCTGGGGAAATGCAGGCTAATAATAGGGTCATCCAGTTCCCAAAGCATCCCAGGGCAGCCAGAAGAAATAGTGTCCTGCGAGTATGCTTCACTCACTGGTCCATTTACCTCCTTCAGAACCCAGAGAGGCTTCCATCCTTCCTCTCACCATCTTCTATAGTGAGGATGGAAGGGCATCAAGTCAAAGACTCAGCAGTACACCAAGTCAGACCACTGTAACTACTACCCCAAGCAAAGTGTTTAATCCTTCTGCACACAAGAGCCTGGGTGTTGGCTGGGTTACTGCTGACTAATGGGTCTTTACTCATGTCAGCTTCAGTGAAAGGAAGCTGCCAAATTGTTCCCTGAAGGTGCTTGGAAAACTACAGACCATCCCCTCCCCAAAGCACCCACCTTTTCCCCACGGACATGTTCGAGCCCTTGGTGGGAAGCCAGACAAACCCTCTGAAGCATGTTTTAGGCCTTGGTCTAGTAACTGATGTGTAACGGAGACATCATTAACCAGACACATTGACCAGCTGATAAGCACCAAGCAGAGATTTTAATTGATTTGTAGAGAAGCGGATTTGTTGTCTGCAAATACAATGCCTGCTCAAAGCATGGGATGACGGAGCATGGGAGAAGGCTCAGGGGAGACCCTATCACTCTCCACAACTACCTGAAAAAAGGATGGAGCAAGGTAGGGGTTGGTCTCTTCCCCCAAGGAACAAGTGACAGGACAAGAGGAAACAGCCTCAAGATGCACCAGGGGAGGTTTAGCTGGAGCTGAGGAACAATTCCTTGCCCAGAGGGTGCTCAGGCATTGGAACAGGCTGCCCAGGGCAGGGCTGGAGTCACCGTCCCTGCAAGTGTTCACAGCCCGTGTAGCCGAGGCCTCAGTGCCAGGGGTTAGTGGTGGCCTTGGCAGGGCTGGGCAACGGTTGGACTGGATGAGCTTAAAGGTCTTTTCCAACCTGGTTGATTCTGTGATGGGTTCGAAGTCTACAAAGAAATTTGAGATGGAAACCAGCCCATTATCAGAGGTGAGACTGCTTTATGAGAAGCCACTAGACTGAACAGCTGGAGACCAGGGTGTCAGCCTGGCTTTGTGCTGAGCAGTTAACCAAAGTCACCAGCTTGTGAACTCCACCTCTGCCTGTCAGCTCACTCACACCTGCACGCCATGGTCCCCAAAGGGCTGTGAGGGTCCTGCTGAGTCAGCTGCTGCAGGGACAGCCCTTCAGAGGTCCACACAAAGATCCAGGGAAGCTGGTGGCCAGCTGAGCTGAGGAGCCAGCACAGTGGATGCATTCAACAAAACCCCAGTCTGAAGGACAGGGGCAGCAAAACCAGAGGTTTGAAGATGGTGCCAATTTTCCAGAGTCAGATTTCAAGGAAAGGCAAGGAAAACTTTCCCAGGCCAGCTATACATATACCTTTGAATGTGGAAATATCCTCAGATGACAGGGGTATGAGCCCTCAGCAGCTGCCTAATCGTGCCATTTCCCAAAGGGATACAGCTTGAATACAAGCAGAATTTCCTTTACGAGACTTCCCACAGAAAGGAGAGCTGTCCATTGGCACATGTTGCACAAGGGTTACCAAACTGTGCAAGGCCTCTTTGGGTTCTCCTGCTGCAAGGACCTGGGTGCAGCACAGACTTGGCTGATCCAGGGATTCTGAGAATTAGTGATACCTCCTGTATGAAGACAGGCTGAGAAAGTTGGGGCTGTTCAGCCTGGAAAAGAGAAGCTGCGCGGAGACCTCAGAGCAGCCTGCCAGTATCTGAAGGGGGCCTACAAGGATGCTGGGGAGGGACTCTTCATTAGGGACTGCAGTGGTAGGACAAGGGGGGATGGCTTTAAACTTAAACAGGGAAACTTTAGGTTAGATCTAAGGAAGAAGTTCTTCACAGTGAGGGTGGTGAGGCACTGGAATAGGTTGCCCAAGGAAGCTGTGAATGCTCCAACCCTGGAGGTGTTCAAGGCCAGGCTGGACAGAGCCTTGGGTGACATAGTTTAGTGTGTGGTGTTCCTGCTCATGGCATACGGGTTGGAACTAGATGATCTTAAGGTCCGTTCCAACCCTAACTATTCTATGATTCTATGATCCAACAAGGAGAGCCCCCAGACCTGCCCAGCACCAGCTCTTCGGGGCTCTGTGAGCAAAGGCAGCTGCAGAGAAGAGCCAGTGCTCCAAGCCAGAGACTTAAATCCTGTTGCAAAAGGGGGTTTATGGCACTGAGCACTGCCAGTTCCTTCCCACGTACATTCAAGGCAATTACTGATCTTGTCCTTAAACGCCAACTGCTACACAGCCAGAGCAGGGAGCCACCATGACCTCTTATCACCTAAAGGCTCTGTGTCCCAGGGTCTGGGGCCAGAAGGGGATGCATAATATTGTTTGGCAAAATTCAACTCAACAGGTCTTGCACATGTTTTTTTTTCCCTCCAACACAAGTTTCAGAGATAGCTGGAAGCAGGAAGGCCATGTTCAGAGAGGAAACTCCAGGGAGGGGTGAAATAGCCCTGGAAGATGGTGGGAAGCACACCACCAGCAAGAGGTGGACCGGTCCGACGCAGCATGAACTCTGCAGTCACACACAGAGAGAGCTGAGCCCCAGCACAGTACAGGGCTGCAAGAAGTCACACCAGGTACCTGCAGGCAGCTCTGATGCTTCATACCAGTGCCCTCCTTGCAGAGATAACTCACTGTGCATAGCCCTGCTTCTAACCCAACAAATTAATCCTGAGCAACCAGCCTCCACCAAGCCTAAGTGCCAACAGTGCTGCAGTAGAAGCAACTCAAAGGGAACCTGCTCAGACCTGATCCAGCAGGCTCCTGACCTCCCAGGAAAGGGAATTCCCAGGAAAGGGTACTCACCACTCCAGATTATAGCAGGGCCACGTTTTGTGCCTTCTCCTTCAGACAGTGAGAAGCATCAGCACTTCCTGCGGATCAATCCTGACCACACTGGCTACCACAGTGGAACCAAGCTGTCTTACCTCTTTGCAAGCTCCTCAGAAGCAGCACATCAGTACTGGTTTACAAAGCCTCAGCTAGGCAGTGGAAGGCTTCCACTGACTCCAACAAGCTTTGGCTAGGACCTTAAAAATATTTGTTCCACAGAATTTCTCTGTCACTAATACAGTCTTACAAATTCCCTTTTTTCCTTCTATTTACAGTGAAAACTAAGAGCCTTCAGGCACAGGGATTACAGAGGCCCAGCATTAATGTCAAGCCCAAAACACAGCTAGAGCTGGAGAATGACTACCAGTGCTATGGGTAGAAATTACTTGATCTCCAGCTAAAAGCAACTGGCTGTCAAGAAAGCCAAAAGGAGCAGGGAGAAGTCAATTTGCTTTCTGAAAGTCTCAGCTTGAGAAACACACCTGTAACAGCAGCTCAGGCTTCATTTCGATAGTTTATTTTACATTCTCAGCAGGGTCTCTTTATACTTCCCTCAATGCTGGTAGAGCCAGAACTACCTCAAAAGCCAAGCTTTGAGAGCAAGACCCTTCCTTCCCCCAACTCTGTATTATCAGGGCTTTGACTAAACTCCCTCAGCACCTAAAAGGCCTCATTCTCCTCCAAGCTGTAAAGATGTTAAATACATTCAGATGCAAATCTACTCTCAGCACTTCAACTTCTGTGGAGCTGAGCAAACTGAAGTCAGTCCGACTAGGCAGCAAAGATACAGTAAGAGGTCAAGATGCATCTCCAGCCTGGCACAGGTGCTGAAGGAAGAACACATGATCCCCTCAGCAAGGCAAGCTTTTCTGATGCCAGCACTTCACACCCTTTCAAACACCATTGTGGAGAGGCAGCACCGTGCTTCAAGCAACAAATGTCACTTACCAACATACTCAGAGAGGAACACAACAAAGAAAGGAGTGACCAGGTCATTGATTCCCTGTACATAGCCGCTGGCTGGGTGTCGAATGGCCCAGATAAACAGGATTCTTTCAAAGATCTAGGGAAGAATGAGGGAAAGCAGGTACCTGCATTAGCCGTGCACAAAGGAAAGGCAGAAAAGCATAATAGCTAAGCTCAGGGAGCAGAGATCATGCACAGAGACAGCTTTTCTGCAGCAATATGGGTAAGATAAGAAGCATACAAATCCTAGGAGAGCCTCCTGTGTGATCCACAGATCGCACACACAGGCCAGCCCACACTTCACAGGACAAGGCAGCCCAGGCTCCTCATCAAAGCCTCAGCTGAAGAAATGCAGACCCGACTTTGCAAGATCCAGGTGGTTTAAGACCCTTCCACCCACAGGACAGGGCTGCCTGTGCAGAGCAGGACGCCTTGTTGAACAGGATGTTGAAAGTTAAGGCTGTTACCTGTTATCAGCACAGTATTCCCAGCAAAACATCACAGATCGTGAAAGTTCCCAACAGAGCAGCTGCCCTTCAACAACCTTCCAGACTGTCCCAGCCCCAGGACACAGAGCTCTGACAGACCACAAACACACGCTAAGCTTGTTTCCAAGGAGGACACGTGCCTACTACCCCTCCCGGTCATGTCTCCAACCCATCCCTGCCTGGGTTTCTCACATACTGCTTCAAACAAAAGAGGCTTCATAGGAAAACAGAATGATCTGGTCTGGTTCAAATGCCTTGAATTTGTCTCAAAACAAAAGCTTCAGGTCTTCTACCAACTCTTGGCTACACCTCACCACAGAAGAGCTGATCATAGCCATGAGCTCCAAGTCTGATGTCCTTCAGAAACATGGGACAAGACCAGTTTCAGCAGGTATCTGCATCAGGAGCTGTCAGCCCTGGAAGTTTCCCCACAGATCTAACTCCGCACCCCCACCCCACCCCCCAGCAAATGTGTGACAGGAGCTTCCTTTCCCTTACCTCCTGGACAAGCGGCTGCTGGAAAAGGGGTATGAGTGGGTTGGTCCTTGGAATATCGATGTGGATCTGGAAGAGAAGGTGGGTTACATACACCAGCCATGCTTTCCAGGGGCACAGCAACTCATCACAGACTAACAGAGCGGAATCCACTCCTCAGTGTCCCCCAGGCGAGAGCTGCACTTGCTGGCAAGCACAGTGAAAGCCACAGCTGCAATGACAGAATCATGTCCAGTTTTATCTCTATCTCCTCTGCTCAGGTGTGGGCAGGTGACCAGAGCTGGACTCTGAAATCTAGCTATTAGATCAACTGAAGGAACGGTTAAACTAATATCTGTAAGAAGAGGGATAGAAACATGGTGCCCTTTCCCCTCCCAATAGCTGCAGCTAGAGGAAGTCCTGGCATGACCCCAACTGCATGGACAAGCAGTGGCAAGAGGAAGGAAAGGGATATAACCAAGGCAGAAAGCCAGGCAAAAGGCAGAGGGGCTCATACCTGTCGGTAGGTGTCTTGATGATGCTCCTCATTCCGGGAATCATAATACTGCTGGATGAAGCCAAAGTATTCCTCCCGCTTGCGCTGCAAAGTCAGCTTTCGCCGCTCCATGTTTGCGGGGAGATAACCCTGTGGCAGGAAAGCCTGTGTCAGGGCAGAGCCTCTTCCCTCACCTTAAAACATCCCCTGAAATCCTGCCTGTCAGCTGGAATCATCGGGCACAGAGACTCAGGTACTGGGGAAAGACCTTTCATGGGATTTGGCTCTCCCAGCCCCTGATGCCTTGGAGCAACCCAACCTCATGGGATTCGGTTTTCCAAACCAGAGTGAACCACCTATTCCCAGCACCACTATGGGCTTCGTGCTGAAAGAGGATGTAGCAATTACACTCCCCAACCAAAAAAAACCCTGCATGGGCTGGGTACAGACACAACACGAGCAAACCTGGTTATAGGACACAAGGGGCACATGTCTCTGGCTTGGCACATTCCCCCAGCCTCCTGCATCACAGTTCCAAGTACTCACTGAGAGGAGACGCCAAGTCACAGGCCGGACCTCTCTGGGCACACCAGGCCAGCTGCATTTCCTCAGTTCATCTGCAAACGGACAGTGGTGGCAATGGATTAGATCCTAGGCACGTCCAGGCACCACTACACCTAGAAGGAGAGGAAAGCCCAGTCTGCTCCTGCAGGCTCTAGTGACACTGAGCCTCCAGGAAGGCTCCACATTAGCAATGGCTGGGGATGTGGGTCTGCAGCAAGGGGAGCAGAGCCTATTCCAGCTCAGCCTGGACACAGAACTGGTGGCTGCAGGAGTTCCAATGAGATGGAAGCTCAGTTCTCATGCAGAGCCTGACAGCCCCCAGTGATCCCAACCATCATTTGTGAGATGGAGGAAGACTGGGAACAGGCAGAGAGCTAGTGGAGGATGTTACCGTCTGCCAAAAAAGCACTTTGTGCCACCACACCACTTGGTGCAACTGCAGAGAGTCATTTTTTCCACCCTGGAGCAGACCCAATTACAGCTTAAAGCAGGCAGCAGCCCTCTTCTCACCCACAGGCACCCCCACTTTGCCGCACTCACCCAGGTCTGTGTTGTGGCTGGAAAGGAGCTGCCGAAACTTCTCCAGGCGGGTTTTCTCCCTCACTGTCATGGGGGGAGCACCCGAAGCATTTTGGTCAGAGATCCGGGCGACAAGTGGAATGACGGGCCGAAGGGGAAGGGACTGCTGCTTTTGAAGGGGGGTCCTCACACAGGCCTCCTCTGCAAGGAGCAGATGCTGCAGTGAGGTAGGGAAGGAGACTGCACCTCTCCAAACCTACCTCGCTCAGAGATCTGCCACTGCAGGTTTCACCCCAGCCCCAGCCAACAGAGCATCACCGCCCCACTCCGATGGATCACCTGGTGCACAGGCATGTTATGGCTCTTCCATCATTTGACCCCACTTCTCTTTGCCTTCCTTCCTCCTGCACCCAGACACCTGGCTGCCAGTGGATCAGACTTCCCTCTTCACGTGGGAAGCATGACACAGGAGACAGGCAGAAGATGCTGTGACACTCCCAGCAGAACCCACCTTCACCGCTGATTGCTAGTATAGAGAGCAGGCAATGGGCTGCCAATGCCACCTGCTGGCAGCAGGGACCTGCTGGGTTACTGCCACAGTGTGAACAAGGCAGAGCGAGCAGGGGCTGATGCTGCCCAGCTCCCTGCCCAAGCTGGACAGACTTGGGATCAACAGGACCTCACCCAGACCTTTACGAAGAACAGCATGCTGGGCCACAAAGGAAGCAGATCCCGAGCAAGAATTTAACAGATCTCCAAAATTCCTTAGCACCCCGAACACGGGATGTTTTGGGACAGACGTGTCTGCATGCACGTACTGAGCAGCAGAGGGGACTGAAGCATTAAGGCCAGGCCTCCAAAATTGGCTCCTTGGAGTACAGGATACTACAAAGAGGTGAAAGCCCCTCTTGAGCTTATAGGCTGGGCCACAGCCTCTCACCCATAACAAGGAGCAGCAAGCAGCTGAGTTCAGCAGTCAACCAGGAGAACACTGGAGCAGTAACCTGCTCAGAAGATGGCTCTTACCAGATGTCCTGGAGAGCTGGGCCTCACTGCTGGACTTGATGACCTTGCAGTTCATGGGCATGTCGCTGAGAGCTGACTGGGCCCGCTCGGGTTTTGCCCGCAATTTGCTGTGGTTCTCCAGTACCTGGGCTGCTGTGGCCTTGGCCACTTTAGAGTTCAGAGTTTGCAAAGAGGAAGAGGAGGAAGAGAAGTCCTCATCTTCGTCATCACCGATGTCCCAGGCATCACTGGTATTGCGAGCAAACTCATGGAAGCTGGAGGCCTTCTTGCTTTTCATAGGCAGCGCATTGGCCTTGGAGCGGTCCTTTATGAAACTGGGAACCAGAAAGAAGCACTATCAGAGCCATGCTGTTAGGTAAGTCCATCTTCTTTCCTTCCCTATGCCCTCACTTCAATCAGCCAGCCCCTTTTCCCAATTCCTCTATTCCTCCTCCCAAACCAAAGGAATATGTTAAGCCTCTCTGTGCTGCCCACTGCCAGGAGGCAGAACCTGACATGATGGCAGGGCACAGAGGCCACAACTGGCAGCTGGAGATGTGCCAGGCTTCCCAACCCAGCAGGGCAAAGGGGAGAGACCTACAGTTCCTGCAGCTCCACCTCCTCCCACCCTACACAAAACAAGTAGATTAGCACCCAAGAAAAGGTCTTGCAACCCGGGGAGAGGCATGGCACAGGTCACACAAAGCTGGTCTGAGCCCGTGGACACTCCTGATACAGCTGCGACTGCTCCCAGCACACTGACCAGCCTGGTTCTCTTCTCAGGCACAGGAGGAGTCTTTGTATTTATCCTTAAGCTACAGGAGTCAAAGTCCAGTGCCTGAAGCGTCACAGAAAGGGAGAACCTTCACCACTACCCAGCACAAGATAGGGACCAGGAGGCAGTTCAGATCAACTCTGCCTTTTCTTGCTGGGAAGCATGCTGTGGTTCTCCAGCCTCACAGCAGCCAGGCAGCTTTACCCCCCATTCCTTCTCTTAATTCTTCAGTCTCCAAAAGGGATCAGAGGGTTCAGACACCACTGCTAAAAACTACGCATGTCCCCTTTGATGTTGCTGGGTTTCTGGCCATAAAAGGGTGTCAGTAGATAAGCTTTCCCTGCAAGCTTCTGCAGAGCTCAACACAGCGCCGCACCCCACTGCTGTCCTTCTCCACTGGAGTATCACAGTGTCAGGGGAGGCTGGAGACATCCACCTACTGCAGGACTGAGCCAAAAACCTGCAGAGCCTTGTGGCCTGCATCTCCAGGAGCTAAGCACTTACTTCTTGGTGAGCCGGGGATCCAGAGGAGGATGCTGTGCTCCATACACGGGTTGGATGCTGCAGGAAGGAGAAAGAAAGAAAGAAATAGAAGACAATGCAAAAAGCCACAGAACACCTACGAATAAACTCCTCAACCCAGACTGGGGTCACACTTCTTGCCGGCTGTCAGGAACTGAGCACAGACCAAAAGCAGCTTCTATCTGCAAACCCTGAGCTCCAAAGTGCCACATTCAGCTGAAGATTTGCTCTGTGCAGCAGCAAAGAGAAGCCTTGTTTAAACTCTCAGCGTCTCTCCAGCCCGAGCTGGGATTCATGATCTGCTCTTTTCTGCACCACCCTTTTCTGTTCACTCTGAGTGACCATGTGTCTCTGTCCTGCTGCCTTACACACCGAGGTTCATCCTCCTTTCTAACAAGAGGATTTCTAGGATTGGGAATTCACCCTTCTGAGCCCTGCAGGACAGGGAAGGACTCCAGCCAGTGACAGTGGTGCTCCTCCACAATGCACCTGAGGGTTTGAACCCCGTGCTGGCTCTCAGGCTCATAGCCAATGCCATAGTGAAGCAGCATCTGGTACAGCACACGGTTTGACACGGGTCCAAATCCCAGTTTAATCAACCACTTCCTATGTGGCCTGAAATGAGTCACCGCATCCCAGTCCCTTGTCTCTGCTCCTGGTGGAGTGGGACTGGTGGGACAGGGAGCCCAAGGGCTGCAGGCACTGCATGGGGAGTATCACCTTGGAGAGGAGCTACTAGATCAGTGTTCATCACTAGTTTTACAAGCTCTGCATGTGAGACAGGGATCCTGAGTTATCAGTTCAATTTGGGTAACTATCTACAGCCACCCCATCTCTGGAAAACAAGCCCTCCCCATCCCTGGTACACAGCACAGTCCCACAGCCCACAGCAGAGACAAGGGCCCATTCAGAGCTGGCACACAAGGAACAGGCTCCTCCTGGGTCAACAGAGCTGGCCTGGTTTCCAGGAGCTGCAGATGGTGCCCAGCAGTAAAACAAGCAGAGCCCAGCCGTGCCGGAGCGGGACAGCAGCCTGGTGAAGCTGGAAAGCACACTGGGAGCCAGTTGATGCTGGGGGCTGGCAGCAACAGGCCCAGGCTGGGGAGAGACACAGAGATCAAGGGCAGAGGCTGGAAACAACCACAGCACAGAGAGATCCTGGTGCTGAAGCTTGGTGAGGGGTGGGCTCTCTCTTGCAGCAGCCATCCCCCAGTGGCTGGAAGCACTGAAAAGGCTCACTGTGTTTCCCCACCAGCCATCAAGCCTAGGAAGGAGTTTGCTGACTAATTAGCATCCAGGAGTCAGGACAGCTATTGAGCAGAGACACCCCCGTGGGTCGGCACAGCAAGCAGATTATCAGGAGTAAGAAAAACAAGCTCTCCAGATCAGTGCTGCTTCCCAGTGAGAACCAGCAGAGTCTCTCCAATGGCCAGCTCCAATCTCGCGCTGTCTTGCGACAGCAGCCACAGCGCTGCTCCTCTCTGTGCTGACAACAGGTGACCACTTCTGACTCATGTGCAAAAGCCTTGGCTCCACAAGCCAAATGTGTGATGTGTGTTACAGACAGAGGAGGGGATGTGGCAGGGGGCCTGGGGGGTTTTTTTTTACTCTGAAGCAATCCGCTGGCTAACGGCTGCTACGACACAGAGGGTCCCACCTCCCAGGCAGCTCACTTTGAAGAGCTTTAATGCAGGCTCCCCCAAAGCACTCTGAGCTGATCTAATGGCACAGCCCATCAGCCTGTGCTCACACACAAGGGGCTGAAGGGGACAGTCTAGTTTCCAGCAGGCTACAGAGCCAGGACTGAACACCACCATCCTGCACTGATGAGTTCGAACCGCTGCATGAAGCGGGTTCTCCCCATGTGTGTTCCATCTCTGCCAGTTCTCTGCCAGATTCACCCATGCAGAAGGTGTAACAGACTGGACAGGAGGAGTGCAAATGAAGTGTGCAACAGGTCTTTAAGCTACATGAGCACATGTACAGATAGATGCTAGACAGCAAGTTTGTGCTGTGGTGTCTGTGGTATCCTTGATGCCTAAGCCCACCCCTTCAGCTCACATCCCTGTAGCTGACTCCCAGCAGATCCTACAGCTCCACATTAGTACATCCTACTGAGAACATTGAGGCAGGGGTGCAGTATCACCAAGTGGTGCTTGCTAACTTCATTTACTCATTGGTTTTCCCTGATGCAGCTTGGCTAGATGAAGCTGCTGTCTCCAAGCTCAACTCCCTGCCTGAAGCTGGTTTTGCCTGACTTTTGCATGGGCAGAAAGCTCAGGGCAGGCATTACTTCTCAGCACACACACCACTGGGTCACGAGCTGATGCTGTACTCACAAGCTGAGTGGATGAGCCCTCTGTCCTGTCTCATTTGAAGCTCTTTGGGACAGGCATTTCTCATGACCCACATGGTCAGTGCTGGTACAATGCCTGTGGTACCTGCCTTAGGCTACTCACAGGGAGATCATCACAGAGTGTGGGTTGTTGACACTGCAGCAGAAAGCACATCCATGAAACCTTAAGTGCCACTTTTCGGACACAGCCCAGTTTTACTCCTAGTCAAGTCTATTTCTCCCCTTTTAAAATAGCATTTAATTACCCCCCACACACACTGGAGCCAGGCTGCCTGTCTCTCTAAAGAGCAGGAAATAACAGCCCATCACACAGGATAACACACTAGAGCAACCTGCCACCACATCCCCAGAGAATTACTGGAGTGACAATTCCCAATGCAAAAACTACAGGACAGTACTGGAAACGTGAAAGGACATTTACTAGTTCTGACATGCTAAATCTACAGGAAAAAAGCACCAACTAACAGTTAATACAACCAAGTGACCACATGTACAAAGTAGCATGGAAAAGGAAGTTAACACAGTCTCCAAACCTTGACAAAGCCTCCCTCTGCCTGCTTGCCAGGGCAGAGAAAGAAGAGAGGCAAGAATCTGCATGCGAAGATCTCTCAAACCTCATATAAAACAGAAAGGGAGCTTTACATCTAGCACCTATGGATGTAAGCATGTTCCACCTCCACCTTTGGCTGCTGTATTGCCCAAAATCTGTCAGTAACCATCCCAGGAACACACAGGGCATTTCTTTAGAGGTGGTAACAAGGCTCCTGGACAGCAGGATATCTGCCACGCAGCCAGTGACGAGCAGGGGAGAACTCTGCCAAAAACTTGCTGCTGGACCCTATTGTCTAGGCAGGACTGGCTGCCTCCCAGACCGGTTCATCTGGTTTGAGCTTTCCAAGCCAAAGCTGGAAGTCACTGACTGCAGGAGGGAGCTGCTGTCCAAGACTATGAGCTGGAAACACGGCTGTGACCCCGAGGAAGGAATAGGAGCAACCAGGAAGCCAAATCACCCAGCAAGAGCACAGCATTTTCTTCCCCCATGAGCAGAAGAGGAAGAACTTGTAGAGCTCGTTGTTTTCTCTTTGCTTGCCACAGACCTGGATTGTCCCACCAACCTGAGGGAGTCAGCCAGTGCAGCGACAAAGAACCGAATGAGAGCACATTAGGAAGAGAAATTTAACTTGCCCAGCAGGATTTAAAGCCAACTAAGCATTTCAGACTGCGTCCACACACCAGGAGGGGAAGGGCAGGGTGCAGATATGGCAAATGAGAGGAAAACATGAGGTGCACCCGATGGGAACAGCACTTGTTAAAGCCTCCCCAGAGGGCTGGATGCCCTCTCCCCATGGCAGCCTTGCTTCTAAGGCTTTGAAGGGAACATCTCCTTCAACCCCACGAGCCTCTTCTTCCTAA